TTAATACAGGACTGTGCTTTACAAAGCAGTTCCGAGAGGCTTTAAAGCTGAAGAGGAAAAAGAATACTAGAAATATATTAATAAAAACACAGAGGCAAAAGCAATGGGAATACAATAGGCTATTCAATAAACCCTGTCTGGAAAAATGTGTTTCAAGGCGTGAATTAAAACATGATTGATTTCTAATGGAGCAATCCTCATTGACCATATTGACCAAAGGGCCATAAAACTGTCCGGTCAATATGAGGCTGATTCACGGATGATAGAAAACGCTGATGAATGGGAACAGAGACACAAATGACTCCTGGGATAAAACCATGGACATATACAATCTCTTTCCCCTGTGTGTGTGTGTGTGTGTGTGTGTGTGTGTGTGTGTGTGTGTAAAAAGATGGATAGTGCCTTGAAGTCACTTGTTCTATGCAGGAACTAGTGGTTGTAGTGCTAAATGTGCCTGGCCAGGCCTGGTGTTAATACAAAGACTAGAGCCAATTCATCTTCACTGACACTCACCCAATAGCACAGTAAATTACAGAGTGAGGAAGAGGGTGATGGGGTGAGGGGGTGAGGGGGTAAGTGTGAAGAGAAACAGAGTAAAGGAGAGAGACAGAGATGAGGGGAGAGACAGAACTGGTAGAGGAGAAAAGGAGGGGAGAGGGAGATGGTGCAGAAAGGGGAGATACTATATGCATATAGTTCACACAGCAACTTATAATGAATGCAACAGATTAAGTTTAAATTCATATATCATCAATACTAGAGGTAATGAACAGCAAGTAGTGCAGGGATTTAATCATGCCTCCTAGATAATAAATAAACCAATGTTCCTGTGGCTTGGGAATGAGTATATCTGTTAGAGTAATGCTGGGTGAGACATTACAGCCAGAGAGAAAAGTTAAGAATACTTTACTTCCTCCAAACCACTGCCAGTAATCATTTTTCATAACACGTATTTTCTGCATCATTGATGGAACAGAACCGGCCATAAAAGTCGCCTTGGCAGGAGGTGTTGGCACTTAGAATGGATCCCCACGCCAGAAGGCCTCTTTGCCAGACACATAACCAGCCCGGAAAAAGTGGACACGTCCCTTGGAGGACCAAATAAATCAAGCTCACCTCGCACTCTTATCTGGTGTTAAAAACCTCTTCCCTCTCAATCAGTGGACAAAGTCTCAAAGGAGCTGCCTGAGGAGATTGGGCCAGTCACAGTCTATACACTATTGTTTATAGAATTAAACTAACTTTTATAAACTCAGTTTTTCCACCACTGCTATTCCAGATTCATCTTTTCCCCCAAATGCCGAGGCCCTAGCCATGATCAGATGTATCAGCACAGTGCAGAGCCAAAGTGGAGAAAAACTAGCAAAAACTGGCAGAGGCAATTACTGTACATATAGGAAATATATGATCTGATAATCAAGAAAGGCTGGGTGCAAGAAACCTCTTTTTTTATCGTTTTCATCCATCATGGATTGCTCTCAGGTTACATCACAGACAGCTGTCTGTTCATCTGCTATAAACTGAAAGGTCACTGAAAAGCAAAGTCATAGTTGAAACAGATTGAATTTTCAGTCAGCAATGGGATGTGAAATCCAAGTGCTGCCACAAGGTTGCTCTCTCCATTGGAAAGCAATGGCTCATTCAGACGTGAAGCAGTTCGTTCTCTTGCCTATCATGAATAGAGCACCTAAGGAGAATAAGAGAGAGTGTTCCATGTTAAAAATGTGAGACTTTAAACCAAGTGTTTGAAAATTGCTTGTGAACTGTCAGATCTGGAGGCACTGATCGAACTGAAACATCTGCACTAACACACCTGTTTGTCCCTGAATTTGTGAGTTGTGTTGGTAACTGCAGGCGCTGAAACATGTCTGTCACTACATAATGAAATAAACAAATTTAGGCTATTTTAAAAAGTGCAGGCGCTTATGAACTGTTTTCTATATTTGATACCAAGTGTCCTTGAGTCTGACATTAAATTCTCTGAGTAAGTAAGAGTGCGTCACTCACACACACACACACACACACACACACACACACACACACACACACACACACACACACACACAGCCATTATCCTTACTGTTATAAAAGCAGACATGCTTTCTACATTATTATGTCCAACAATAATAGACAACAAAATAAAACTTTTATGTGCAACGGCATATTGCACCTTGCCCTGCTATTCCAGTCATTCTAGCCAATCATCTTTTCTAACTACCACTGAGTGTGTCCTATATAGCCAGCACTGGCAGCAGCTACTGGCAGCTAAAATAGATTTCTGTTTGCCAGGAAGTACATTCAAGACCAGCGAAGCCAGCACAGTGCCCACATTTGAACAGGAAACCAGAGGACTCATATTCAGTTTGTATTTGTGTGTCTGTGTGTGTTTGTGTGTGTGTGTGTGTGTGTGTGTGTGTGTGTGTGTGTGTGTGTGTGTGTGTGTGTGTGTGTGTGTGTGTGTGTGTGAGTGAGTGTGTGTTGGACAGCTGACCAGTCTGGTGTTTTAATTGGCCTGTGCAAAAACCTGGACCTGGTGACAGACAGTGTTGTGTGGAAACTCAGGAAAGTATACAGGTAGTTGCTGACTAGTAAACTGAAGGGCTGCAATCCATAATACATTAAATTGTTCCAATTATCTCGGTAATGTCACATGGAACATATTACATACTTGCTTGTAACACCAGTTATAGATTCCGGACTCTGGCTGGACCAGGTTTAATTGTATGGGATTCAGACAATTTTTTTTATCTTAATATTTGGATTAAGATTCATAATGGCAACGTCATCACCTTATAAAGTTCTTACAGCGAATTTGTTAGCAAAGAGTTGCTTATCTACACAACCAACAGGGAGCAGAATTAGCATTCATTTGGAGTCATGTTTATGGCCATCTGATGAATGTAAGACCAATACTCACTCTCCTTTCCACTCTGTTTTGGTCTCCACCAACAACTAAGGGCGATATGTGGCTTTTCAGCAGCTGCTGTGCTCCACTGTGTTCACCTGCTAGCTGCTATACTTCTGTTTGGCATTTGGAGCTGGATAGGTGGTGCACAGTGGCTTAATCATAGTTTTTAGAACATTTATATACTGCAGCTGGAAATGAGGTTGATCTGAGTCATATATACCATTACTGTTTTATCTTAGCTGATACAGATCCATTCAAAAATGCCTGGATCGGTGCCCAGTACCAATCTTTCAGACTGGCTTGGGACATCTCTGCCTTTCAAATTACACAAAGTCATATTTGATCCCTGCTAATGTAAAACGTATTGACTAGTGCAGTGTTAAGGTTACATAACATGGATTTTCATGTCATAAAAAATAACACAAAAAAATTAGACAGTGAAAAAAACATCCCACAACTGGTTTGCAGGCTATGAAAAGGAACAGTATAAAAAAACACCTGGAGTTTGTCTTGACGATGCAGGTGCCCTGAGAGAGACATTAGAAGATGCTTGGCTGTTGAAAAAGTTTTGGTTTGATCCCTTATGTAAACAACTAGTCTCTCACTTAGACGCCGCCAACCGTGCCAAATGATTCACATGCTCATTAACAGCACAGTGTGTGTGTGTGTGTGTGTGTGTGTGTGTGTGTGGGTGTGTGTCAACTTTGAGTCAGTCCATATAAGGAAGTAGCCAAGTAATTATATGCTGTGTACAAACAAACACAGTCCCCCCACCAGTTAATATTCTCCCAACCCCACCCCCCTCCCCTTTTACTCCCCTACCCTCCCTGTTTCTGTCCATCTCAAAAATTGTCATTGGTATCTTCCAAAGGAAACATTTTTGCTTTTTCACAATGATTTTCACTAACGAACACACACCACAGACACAACTTGGAGGACATTGCACTGACTGATTTAACTTCAGTCATAATCCCAGCCTTTAATATTAATATTTTACGTTGTGGAGACCACAGTTTTGTCCAGACAATGTCAGTAACTTAAATACGCACAGATTCAAAAAGGTGTGCACATACAGCCATGTGCACAAACATACTCTACACTACACACACACACACACGCATGCACGGACGTAGACGCTCAAAAGCCAGTCGTTACGAGAGCTGCCACTGGGAATAGAATGAAAATGAAAGCCGAGCGACGGAGACGTGAGGAGAAAAAAAAAGGAAAAAAAAAATCAAGGGAGGAGAAAAGCCCATGAGGCAGAGGGAGATTCTCATCTTCAATGAAATCAGATGATCCCTCCCTCCCTCCCTCTCTTCCTCCCTCCCTCCACTGCTACAGCTTTCTTTCTCGCGGCTCTCTTTCTGTCTCCCTTCCATCTCCATCCTTGTCCTCTGCCTCCCTCTTTCTCTTCCTCCCTCCTACCTTTATCTGTTTTCAACCAACCTCTTCTCTATATCTCTCACCACCTCCCACTCTCTGTCTCTCTACTTTCTCCTTGCCCTCCCTTCCTCTCTCTCCTACTCCCTCTCTGTCTCTCTCCCTCTCTCTCTCTTGGCTCTCACTCTTTCGTATTATCACTCTCTCTGTATTCCACCTCCCTCATCCTCTCTCTGTCACAGTGGGAGAGCTGCAGGCAGACAGAAGCAGCATACACTAATGTTACTATATTTGACAAGACACACACACACACACACANCACACACACACACACACACACACACACACACACACACACACACACACACACACACACACACACACACACACACACATATTCTCCTGCCACATGCACGACTGCACACACATACGGAAAAGAAGAAGGGGAGGTGGGGGCACACACACACACACACAAACACACACACACACACACACCGGAAAGACAACCCTCAAGTGTACATGTGCGGATAAACACACACACACTCTGACGCGTGCTGAGTGCAGGAATCACAAACATAGCGACACACAGAAGGGCTAGCGCGTGACGCCAGCAACCTAACGCCGTTGTCTCTCTCTCTCTCTCTCTCACACACACACACACACTTCGTCTCTCTCTCTCTGTCTCTCTCTCTCTTTCACACACACACACACTCACGCCTCTCAGACGCACACAGCAGCGCACAAGCCAGTGAGCAGGACGGCGCTGGACGTATCATTCATATAGGGAATAGATCCGAAGAAAAGGATTAACTATCTCCATCCCTCTCCCTCTAAGGACCTTATCGTCTCTTCCCTCCTCTTGTGTCTCTAAGCCTCTCTTCACCTCGTTTTTTTTTTCTACAATCCCTCATTTTTTTCTCCACAATCCCTCTTTTTACAATTCATTGGTGGGTTGAAGGGAAGCCAGGGGGATTGTCTCTATACAGAAAGCGGGATTATTCTTACATTATTCATTTCACCAGGATCTTGAATGTATGGATTTCTTTACCTGAAGTGGGGACAGTTTTACTTCTATGTTTTGAATCTTTTTTAATTTTTTGGATATTTTTGGGGGGGATGGCTGAAGGCAGAAATCTATAAGGCTGGTGCTGTCTGAGATATTTGGTCAAAAGGTAAGTGTGTTTGTGGTAGTTCATCTCACTCAAACACACACACACACACACACACTTCATCAAAACTGCTTTTAATCTCATACGCAAAGTAAATTGCAGAAAGAGACAGACTTGCCTTTTTTTTTCCTCCACAAACAATTGTTTTTTTTTTTGATAGGGCCAAAAGTGCATGCTGTGAGGGGCTGGATGCTGAAAACGTCAACCTATTTCATAGATACACACAACACGTACATTCAGGGTAATTTTGGGGCTGTGGTTTCGGGCAGAAGGTGAGAGCATCAGTAGTTTATTAACATACAAATGGCCGTATGATTCATGTGGGGTTCAGTTCGACAGGAGTATCCAGTGATTTTTTTTAACAGTTAAACACAAACAAGTGCATGGACAAGGAAAGACAGTCGTAATAACTTATCTGACAAAAGTGCATAAAAGAAACATTATGCTGTTACTACTTAAGGCTCTAATGTATGAAAATAACAACATACCCTGCAAGACATAAACAGTAAATGGTCTCGTCTAAATGTGTGATAATATGATATTAGGGAACAGTATAAGGCATTGCTATTTTTATTTCTGCCACAGTCCAGTTGATTTTAAAAGGAAATTAAGTCTTATGGAAAATCTTTGTCTGTGTGTGCCAAACCTCCTGGTGCATAATCTGTGGAAATCAAGCTAATATTAATACATTGCAACATAAAAAGGTTTTTTTTTTTTTGGCTACTGCTAATGTTATAATTTACCAGGGCTACCACTCAAAGACTTAATAAAAATTGCACAAAGTATTCAAACATGGCAATCCATTCTTTTCAGTGAGAGCTGCTCACCCAGTGAAAATGACCAAAAAGTTTCAGTCACTTCCAGCTCAGGGTTTGTTCTTATCTAGCTCTGTCTGGCTAACCGAACATGAAGGACACAAAAATGTTATTTTGAATAAAATAAAACATTTTTAAAATATATAGAGTCTAACAGTTCAAACATTGGAAATCACAAAATATTTTGCCTCTACATAGTGCTCAGGGAATGTTGTAAAGTCATTTATTTTGTAATGCACATGTGTCTCTAAAACTCAGGGTGTCATGTGACCTGCAGGTCCGCATTTGGCCACCACACCAACACTGCTGCACCTCACAGTGCTACTGTATCTCTGAGGGCTTGGTGGAGTCTATCACTAACACCGAGTACCCAATATGAGAGCTAATACAGCAGGTGTAACATCAGCGTGATCTGAGCTTAACTACTGCTTGTATCCTTTATCCTTCTACTATACCTCCACATTCAATACAATGCAATAAATGTGATCTGTCCATTTTTCCTTAAAAAAAAAAAACAAACAAAAAAAACAAAGCAAACATTTGATGCAAACTTCATAGACAAATTCATTTAACTTATATATAGCTACAATCTTTTTAAGGATTTATTGTGAATATTTATTACAGCAATAACACTTTATTGCTCGTTTCTATCTTTCTATCTATGTTTCTACTCTCACTTCTTCTCTGACCTTCACAGCATCTTATGTAATTTTAATCAATTTGAAACCCTTGATAAGTTCTATTACATGGTGTCCTGTTGATTCTCTGCCTGGAGCCCAGTGTGTAGTGAGTGATGCTGTTTCTCACTGCTGTATAACACTTTCCAGACTCTAACCCTGTTTTGGAAGGTGTGACATAAAAGTAATTCACTTGCACGAGCTGCACAGTGATTATATGATGATGCATTGGGTGGAAGGCACTCCACCCTAATGTCTTCGGGGCTCTTTTTCCTCGCTAGATTAGCTAAAAATGAAAGGGAACTGTCTGAGCATCCTTCAAGTAATGTAGATGCATTCTAACATAATCCCAGAGAAAAACAATTATGATCACTAACTGGCTCTGTGGTAAGTGAAGTAATTTGATATGTCTACTAATAACATGGCTTACACCTCAGACTAGTCTGACAGCTGTTGTGAAAAGTGTCAACAGTCTGGGTGATGTTATTGATGCACTTAACCAAAATACAAATTTCAATTTTATGCATATTTTACTGTAGCCATGAATGCTGAATATGTACATTCAAGTAACCCACCTTAATAATAAAAATAGTACTGTAAGAACAATTAAGTGAAAAATATGTTATATGGTGGTGTAAGATAAAAATGCGAAGTCTAAATGACATTATAGTTAAATGAGAATTAGCTGTCACATGCGAAATCCTTTTCCCACTGAAGCCACAACTGAGCATCTTTCTTACTTTAGCTTGTTGTTAATTTAATAGAAAAAAACAACATAAAACATGTTAATATAAATTATAATATTTTCCTCCAGCATATGCTTTCATACCAGTGTGTGCCTGCCATATGATGTGTACGCTATGTATGTACATTTATGTTTGTACATAATTAGTGTGTTTTTGGACACATGCACACTCAGTGTGTGTGTTTATGTACAGTATGTGTCTACATACCTCCATGCATGTGTAACTATATATCTGAACATATTTTTGCACCATGTGCCTGTCAACGCATATGTGGATCTATTTGTCAAGCATCGGCATATGCTTAGGTGTGTGTGTGTGTGTATGTACGTGCACGCATGTTTGTGTGTGTGTTATGTTGCCCCAATCTCCCCCATCTCCTGTGTAACAAAGCCATTAAAAATTGATCTAGGGAGCTTGGCTGCCTCTCTCCGTCTCTGTCTCTCTCTGCCTTTGTTAGCAACCACACCTACACAAACATATACACACACACACACACACACACACACACACACACACACACACACACACACACACACACACAAAAATACAGGAACATACAACTGCATGTATGCACTCATTATGACCTTTTATTCCTTGTCCCTCTCTATTGTAAATCAATGGTTTTGTTTTGTCAAATGATTTGACATTGATGAACCTCTTAAACACCAGCAAACTGCCAAATGCTAATGTGTGTGTGTGAAGACATAATTGAATGGACTGTGTGTCTCTGTCACTTATTCAAGGGCCGCACAGTCATACAGGCACGCGCACACACACACACATACACTCACACTCACACTCACACTCACACACACACACACACACACACACACACACACACACACACACACACACACACACACACACACACACACACGTACACCTGCCTTCACACATGGATAACTGTCCTCTTGTGTGATATTTCAATTGGGTTGCAAATTAGACAAAATTCCAGCCATATTGATTAAAAACTATTAGTCAAGCCGAGTAGGCCTGACACAAAAGAGATGGAACACTCTGGAAAAGGGGTTTAAGTGGGCAAAACGGGCAAAGGCAGGAACACATATGCAAGTTCACTCTCACACACACACACACACACACACAGACACACACACACACACACTCCAGTGCCAAGTACAGCAGGATTAAAGCTTCTCCGTCAAGGTGTTTTGGTTGTATCGTAGTAGATGGAATTGATTTATTGTTGAATAACATTGTCTGTTGTAGCACCAACACAACACTAAATGGCTGTGTTGTACATTATTCAGCTGCTGTGCATTCATTATACACCTGAGGCAAACATATTTATACTCTTTCATTTACTTTATCATAGGCAGCAATGACGGGGAGGTTTGCACTAGAGATGGCTTTGCTAGATGGATCACAAAATACTTATTTGTCTGGCTACAGTAAACAAGATTAGTGAGCCGTACAATCAACATATACCCATTCTTTTGTTGACTTTGATGCAGTGTAATGGAAAAGGAAAAGGATTGCACTGGATTTGGCTTTGCTAAATCACAAAGTAAAAATTTGTCAAGCATGAATGGAAAAGAGAAGATTGCTGAGTCTTGCTGCTTCATTTCAACTAACTCTACCTGTATCAGAAACACATAGGAGAAAATAGAAAGAGCCCAAGCTGACCACTCGCAGTCGATGTGTCTACTTGTTATCTCAGCCCCCAAGTGTGTGCTAAAATTTTTGAGGAAATGTGTGTTGGAGCTGTGCACGAAGCCTTTGCAACACCCCTGTGGAGAATAAATCCGGCTTAAGTGTGGACAGGAAACAATTAGTGGAATACACACAAAGAAAAAATAGGATGGAAAGACGAGAGGTTAGAAAAGAGGAACAGAACAGCCTAGAAGAGGGAAGGAGGTGATACTTGATTCCCCAACATGCAGGGGCCACTTGGACACCCGAGTGTTTACACGTGTGTGTGTGTGTGTGTGTGTGTGTGTGTGTGTGCATGAACGTGTGCATGGGCGCATGTGGGGATTTTAGCTGCCCCTGTGTCCAGGTCAAATTGGTAAAAAAAGCTTTCTGAGAATAGCCTGACAGGCAGGCTTGCCACCACAGCACCCATTCAGCATGATGGGAACTGATGGGTGAACAGTAATACGTGGCTGCAGAGGTGACCTTCTGCTCCACCTCCAATACAACATTTAAAGGACAATTCCAGCATGATTGTGCACATGACATTTTTGCACATTTCACCACATATATTGATTTTTTTTTTTAGATGGCACAGAAAACAATCAACAATGATGTGTGAGTAAAAGGCCAACAAGCAACAACAAGCATTTGGCTATAAACTTGATATAAGCTCAGTTCACCATTTAATATCAATGCAGACATTCAAAATAACTGAGTGATTTTTCCCTCTGCATATAAAGTGGCACGCTGCTTTCCCGCCAAACTGTTTTCCTGCTCAAAATAAATCAAAACAAACATACACAAATCCATGAATCATTTGATAAATGGCCAACACGCAAACCAAGGCAACAGTTACAGCCCCAAAGCTGAAGCAGGAATTAAAGATTGATCTCACACAGCTAGAAATTGACGCAAAAATGTTTAATGTGATGATGTGATGAACAACGACAACAATGGATAAATAGCATTCATGTGTGAAGAATGCTTTATCAAATATTCTATAGTATCTAAGTAAAATGATAAACAATACTGAATGCAAAAGATCAGCAAAAACCTATGCTGTCGTATAAACACACAGCAAATAATACAGTAAATAATCATATATTCATGTCAGGTTTTAAACAAAAAAAACAGCTCCCCTCTTCCACCATTTCAGTCCTATAATAAATTCACATCACTCAGCAAACTGAAAAGGGAAAAACATCTTGAAATTTGCATCAGAGACAGGAATCCTCCCAAATTCCTTGAGTTCCTTCCATTTCTCATCCGCGCTTCTGAATTTTTCAAATGTAGCTCATGTGCTCATTTGAAAAGAACAACTCAAATTTCCCAGTAGAGCCTGGCTAATGTGACTTTAATCACATGCAGGAAATCCATCTGCCGAATATCCTCGGTACATGCCTCCGTTGCTTTGTCAAGGAGAGAAAGAGACAAGGAGAGGGAGAGATAGGATGAGAGAGATAGGACAGAAAGAAAAGGATGTGGCATATATTGAAAGATGAAGGTCATGAAGAAAGAGAAAAGACAAGAAGACGGAGGAATAAACGTTGGAGGGGAAAGGAGGGAGTAAGAGAGAGTATAAAGAAAGAGATGAGAGAGCTGAGAGATTAGACGAGTGTTTTATTTTTTGCTCAGTGTCTGGCAGGTACTAATAGCAATAATGATAACACAAATAGCACCACTGGGGCACACATACACAATCACACACTCAACACACACACCAAAACAGTAGGGAGGTCGTGGAGGAGAATTTTAATGTCCTCCCTGTTTACCCATAGCACTTATTTTTACCTCCCCTCCCCTTCAGGCATTTCCTGCCTCGCCTATATTCTCCTTTTATTCTTTCATCACTGTCTTTTCTACACCTCTTTTCCTCTTGGTCACCCTCTCTTATTTCACATCTCTCCCACTTCTCCTCTCCTGTCTTCTCCTCCATTTTCCACTAAGTCATATACAACCAGCTGTAAATAACTTACCAACACTGACTATATGCACAGAAAGTTGAACATATATCTATCTTTCTGTCTGTCCTCATCTATCAAATTTTTCATCTTTCTTTTCTTTCCACACATCCACTTAATCCTCCTGCTACTCTGGATCATGTTTGCTTAACATGCCTATTTGTGGTGCTACAGGTGCAAATTTACATAATCACTACACATGCATCCACAGAGTGCAAACACGTGCACAAATGCACATTCACCTCTATTCAACCTGATGTCAAAATGAGCCGTGCAGAAACAAGTCTGCCCTGTGTCTTCTCCTGTAAGTTTCCTCCACAAACAGCTAACCACTGAACAACAGCCTAATCTGATTAGCGCAATATTTCACACACTGTTGATTGGGTTTTGATGATAGTTTAGGAAAAGACACATCTCGCAGCAGTGCTCCAGCATTTTCAAAATTACACTGATTGGCCCAGGAGGTGCGAGTCTACAGCGTGCATCTGTCATGTGGTATTGAGGTTCCGACAAGTTTTCTCCCATGGTAATTTCCCACCTACTATCACTTTAATGACTCCATATTGACAAGAAGACTCTTTTTCAATGCATGTGGGATGTGTTTCATTACGCTGCTGTAATTGAAATGGGTCATACCTCCATCTATCTGACTGATACAGCAAACCAACCAATTGCAAGCAATCACAAGATTGGTTCTTTTGCACCACTGTTTTCTGTTATTTCGAATGTGTTCTACAGAGCTGTCTTATGAAACTTGATGTGATATTCTTTATTGGAAAATTATGTTGGTGGACCACATGCATAAACTGAGTTTTCAGAGCTGATATAAAACCTTAGCATTTCAGGAACTTGATGTTCTCTAGAGATGACATCCTTGTTATTGTTTACTCAGCAAGCAACAGATTCAGCTGAGGTCAGCTGTTGCTATGTTACCTTTAGTTATGTCACTCCACCGCTTCCTGCGCACTTGGTGCCTTGCTCAAGGGTAGTTTGGCAGTATCACACATACAAAAACACGTCTCCTTTCATCATTCCTCCCATAATTTCTTTCTTCAATCTTTCTTCAATCTGTAGTATATTCCACTTTTTCTCCCTCCATATCTGTCTCTGTATTTATCAGTTTCTACCCTTATCCTTCTCTCTCTATCTTTTCCCTCCATCGCTCTCTCCCGGTGGCATTCTTGCTTTGTCTCTCTCTCTGTGTCCGTCTCTATGCCAGACAGTAGCAGTGGGGGGTCTGTCTGTGGGAAAGGCAAACTGATTGTGTAAACTGCCAAAGACATACACATCTATTATTTATGCCTATGAAATACCAGGGGGCTGTTTGTGATGCTTGCACACACGCACAGACGCACACACACACATATGCACACAAGCTTGCACAGTCTCAAACACACAAATGCACAAACACATTTAATGTATGCAAGGAAGTCATCTCACAAAGATGAGCGCACACATATACAGCCTCCTGCTGCGCTAGCCTTCACTGCTGCTGGCGTATACGTGTGTGTATGCATGAGTGTGTGTGCATGTTAGTTTGTGTGGCTCTGTGCGGGAACAAATTCATGAGATACGGCCTTAGAATTCATACTTGTAAATGTCTGAATGTGCAAATAGGAGATAATTGATCATTTGTTTGTCTCACTTGTGTCTCCTCTCTCTCCTTAGGTGTTTTGGTGTAGCTTTTCGCAGTCACCGCCCTAGTGGAGGCTGCAGGCATGGCGGCTTGACACCCGCATAGCCCCGCCCCTCCGACAGAGGAAGGCTGCAGAGCTCTGTGTCATGCCCCCCCACACCCACCTCCCTGGGGGCATAGGCCTCCCCCCTCCCAGTGCTACCACCCACTTGGCCAGACCTGGTGAGTCGACCAAACGAAAAGTAGATTAAGAGAAGAGAAAAAACGAGAAAGATGAGAGAAACTGACAAAAGGAAAAGAAATAATGGTCCTCTGTTCCTACTCAACTCTGCTCTATTTTATTCCCATCTATTGTACTCCTAACTACGCATGAAAGGAGGAACACTGTCTGTTTTGACAGCTGCTAATGTTAGCACACCCAGCATGCTTGAGCACATGCACAACACACACACACACACACACACACACACACACACACACACACACACACACACACACACACACACAGGCAAAGGATGAGGGCTTTGAGTATGCTGTGGCCACGTGCCAAGTCCTCCAGTGAAATGCCACATTACTGTATGTATTAATACCGCCAGTCTGTAGAAACAAAACAAAGTGGGGAAGGAATGATGGAGGAGAGACCTGCAGGTTATTTGTCTGCTTTTCCCTTCCCTTCCTTTTCTACCCCTTTTACCTTTCTTTCATTTTATATCCCCTCTCCGTTTCCCTTTCCTTCCCTTCCTTTCTTTCATTTTGTCCTCTGCATTTCCCCCCTCATATTATACTTCTCACATCTCACTTCCCCTTTCTTCCCCTTTTTCACCTGCCTCTCCTTCCCTCTTTCTGCTTTGCTCCTCCCTGTTTCCCTGTCTCTTTCTGCCCATAATCTTTCTCTCTTTTTCCACCTCATACCATGGGTACACTCAGTCAAAACAAAAATCCATCAGAAGTCGGGTGGCATAGCAACAGATACGACAGCCTTATGCACGCATGTGTATGTGTGTGTGTGTATGTGTGTGTGTGTGTGTGTGTGTGTGTGTGTGTGTGTGTGTGAGTGCTGTGGATTAGACGGTGGAGTGGATGGATCCTGCTCTCTGAGAGATTCCAGACACTTCCTCTGCTAATAGGCAAACACAAGGGTTTCCTCTCCGCATTTTTTCTCTCTTTTGTTATACGTCTTATATGACATGAGCATGCACACATGAACACACGCTGCACTCGCCGCAGAAAACAAGTGATTTTACAAAAAATTAAAAGAGACCAGCAAATTGGGGGATCTTTGTCCTCCTGATGGTGAGGTATTGTTCCAGAGGTGTCTGGCAAAAACGCCCCCACAAACCGCTGTGTAACACTGAGGGCACTAAATAACAGGGCAACACAATCTGTCAGAACCTCCACACACCCACACAGCACCTCTAAGTCGATAGATATACCTCCCTCTGGGCCGCTCAGCCTCCCTCTGTCTCTGTCACACCACCACGTACCTCCTCCTTTTTCTCTTCACCTGTCCTCTACCTTTTCTTCATCCCTCTCTCGTAACTGCATTAAATTCAGTTCAATTTATCTCCATTATCTGCCTCGGTTTCCCTCTCTCAGTGTATTTCATTACACTTTATCACCGTAAATATTACACTAACAATATTGCTCAAGCCTTTTAGGAACGGGAATTCATCAAAATTCAAAATTACATTCTTGGCATGAATGTAACACAATATTGCCAGACAGTCTCACTTCAGTTGAGTACACTTCATTGACACAAAATCAACGTTATCAATATTGCCAAGCTTTTTTATAACAGCCGTTTTCTCTGACTCTCTCCTCTGCTTTATCACTGTCTGTCTGTATTTCTCTTGCAAAGATTGGAAGCTCTCTGATCTCTGCCATTATGTGACACGCGCTGACACACACATTGAGACACTGGAAAATCATGCATATAATAGGAGTAGAAAGGGGTAAACCTCCCAAAAAAATCAGAGCCAACAAATATGTCAGATTACTACACTGCTGAGAGTCAAATCATCAAGGATGTGTTTCCTTCCAAAGCGGATGAAGTTGGTTTAGAGGTGTGTTTCCAGCCAACTGCCATGCTAACGCTGTGCAAACCTTTGAAATGTCACAAAACTAAAAGGTGTGCCCATAGGCTACAGCAAGAAGCTCTCTGTGTGACAGAAAACAGATCAAAAAGAAAAATGTAAAGAGTCTGTCCAGAAGTGTTAGTATTCTTCAGTGTCAGCCAGTGTCTGCCATATTTCCAACTAATGGCCGTACAACTATGATGGAGTTTTGTAACCTGCATGGGGCAGAAAGCGAAATGATATTACTGACAGGCTGTGGAGGATGTTTTATGGGTTGTTTTTTTGTTTGAGCATCAAAGCCAATTTAAACTGCTGTTGCTAGAAGTAAATTCTTTTGTGCAAAATTATAAATAAATTATTTTTTCTTATCACAGTTCATTGCATAACTTCTTTCACCAAAAATGTGTATATTGAGAAAATGATTTGTAATTGGTAGATTGTTTCATAATCAGAAAATATTTAAATCATTATTTAAATGAATAAATGTTCACTGGAAATATTCTTATTTTAACTCTTGTAACTTATTGTTTACAAATCTTAGCAGTCAATCATAAGTAAGACTTTTGGCTTTCCGGGTTGTGAAAAGCTCCTCTGACTTGTGTTTGTCCTTTCTATTTCATAAAAAATGCAGTAATAAATGTTGGTAATTCATTAATACATGGTTGTGGCTTTCAGTCTTTTGTGATTAGTAATCAAGTCTGAACTAAATATATTAATAAATGGATTTTGATTCTGATTTTTTGCAGTTTTTTCCAAGAAGGTAAATGCTATTCGAGGGTCTCCCAGATGAATTGAAGAGCTCAAAAAGAAAAGTATATGCTAAAGAATAAAAACCAACCAGAGGAATTTTTCACAACCCATAACAACCTCAAAGTCGTTCCTATTAATGACCTATAACTGATTTACAAAGCATTAATAACCATAAGGCTATAGGCCAACACACCCTAAAGGGTGAAGTACAAGAAAGTGGTACCAAAATGTCAAGAAACTAAAAAGTAAAAGGGTCTAAAGTGAAAGAGATTGGCACAGAAAAAGACAATATAAGTTTAAAAAGAGTGCAAACTAGAGGTGGAGAATATAAAATGTGAGTGACGGAAAGAGCGACACAGAGGAAGTGAGAAAAGAGATGGAAACAGTGGGGAGTGGAGGGGAGGAGGAAAAGAGATGCCAGATCAAAGCGGCGTAGTGAAAGAGAGAAGACAGTGAGGAGAAGAAAGGATGAAGGAGCAGAGGCGAGAGAGGGGAACAGAGAGGTCTATGAGCGACACAGAGACCATATGGTGCCTCCAGGCCTCCGTGATCCCAGCAGACTGTCTCATTTGACACAACACACACACACGCACATTAGCACACAAGCTAGCATGACTTCATCCCTATTCACACACACATAAACACACACACTGTAGCTTAACTGGTCATACTGTGTGTGTGTGTGTGTGTGTGTGTGTGTGTGTGTGTGTGTGTGTGTGTGTGTGTGTGTGTGTGTGTGTTTATGCACCTTGCTGCAAAGCCGACAGATTAACTGACCACATAGCTTCCGATCAAAAGAGTGACAGAGAAAGTGGCAGAGGGAGGGAGAGAAAGCAGTCAGGATTTGGCTTCGAATAGAGACTTAATACATCAACTGAGGTTAAAACATTTGGTTTGGAATGGAGCCATAATACAGTGACTAAGGTTGTAGCATTATGCTTGGAATACAGCTGTAACACAGTGCAGTGACTAAGGGAGTAGCATTAGGTTTGGAACAGATCCACACTGGTGCTCAACTGGCTGTATCGCAGTGAAAACTAACTTCTTGTCTGCCTGCAGCAGCTATCAGGTTGTTGAATCGACTGTTTAACAAGCTAATTTCATTTTAACTATTTAAAGACACTGGTCAGCTGTGAGGGTGCAGTAAAAAGCTAAATTCATCGCTGGGTAGTTAGTACCTGGTGGCACTTTTCAACCCTGCTGGTATGTTGGGTTTGGCATGAAGCCACAGCAGTGTGACACAGTACGTGTCTCTGTGCAGTATTCGAGTTGGACTGGAGCCTGATCCTTTCACATAGTGTTATATGAGACTTGGAGTTAAATAGAAACTGAAATAACAGCTTGTTGGCAAACAATCTATAGCATCTGGCAAATTTAGGTATGTGATCAATAGCTATTACTGCAATTTCTAGGTATTTTGAGATGTAGGGCTCAAAGGTACACACACAGAAATATTATATTCTCTCAGCACACTGTGTTTTGACCCCTGACATCCTTGCTGGATGAATTAAAGTGTAATTTGTTGCTGTGATAATTTTACGTCAGCTTTGCTACTAGCGTCATGTGGGAAAGATTCCTACTGCCGAGGTGACCTTGTACTGGCTCCAGCTGTACACGATGCATGCAGAGAAATGCATGCACAGTGCCTGTAAGTGCAGTACACTAGGTTTATTTTCACTCCTCTTTTGACCACAGTTTAGTTTGGTGCAGGTACAACAGGAATGTGCAAGTTCAAGCACACAAACACATGATACTGGCCCACTTTCAAAGGACATTGCCAGGGATAAATCTGGATAATCCTCTGCTCCACAAACAGCACCACTGCAGTTCAGCCCTCGCCAAACGATACTGATACAGTATTAGACTCAAAGCAAGTCCAGTATATGGATCCGACGTGAGGCTGATAAGCTATGATGATCGTAGCAAAGCCCATGCTTTATAGAAAAAAGTACTTTACTCACCAAGTAATCATAGAAAATGGTTGCTAATGGTTTTGGATAATACAGCTATTTGAGATGTGCTCGATTTGTCTTTGTGAACACTCCAAAACTCAATGAAAAGGGCATCCAATTAGCAAGATAACAAATCTATCTATCTATCTATCTAGTTTTTTTTTAAACAGTACTCAAAACAACAAAATAATCAACTAAAAGACTGGCATTAAAACCACATCATGACAACTGTCTCTCATATATTGTGTGCATGTGTGTATGTGTGTGTGTGTGTGTGTGTGAGTGTGTGTATGTGTGTGTGTGCGTGTGTGTGTGTGTGTGAGTGTGTGTATGTGTGTGTGTGCGTGTGTGTGTACGTGTACGTGTACGTGCAGTTTGGATCAATATCATCTGTCTATCCATCCCTTTTGAGGATTGAGTGGGCATACATTAGGACCTGTCAAAG